AGAGTATTCATGAAATTTTGGGTGAATATACTCGTCATGTGTGTTCTGGGGAGCAGGTTTATGGCTTCCAGGAGTTTCAATGGGTGTCCATTACCCAAAAAAAATGGTTAAGAACCACATACTATATGATTCCATTCACATGAACGTCCTGATTAGGGAAATATATGGAGACAGAAAGTAGATTAATGGCTACTAAAAACTGGGGAGATTAGGGATAGGAGAGTGGGGAGGTAGGTGATAGCTAAAGAATATGGGATTTCTTCTCGAGATAATGAAAATGTTCTAAAGTTGACTGTGGTGGTTATACATATCTGTGAATATTTTTTTAAAACCATTGAATTGTACACTTTTAAATAGTGAATTGCATGGTATGTGAATTATATCTCACTAAAACTGTAAAAAAAAAAAAAAAAAGCTTAAAAGCCCTGCTTAGAAAAAAGGGCCACGGTTTGCAGGTACCTACAGACAGTAAGGCTGGGTCCTCTCTGTTCCCGGAAAACCTTGAGTGGTACCAAACCTAGTTCTTTTTTGGAACTAAGGCCAGATTTACCTGAGTCCTCTCACTGGGGGAAGGCTGTCTAAGTCAGTGCGTCTCAAATTTTAATGAACAGATGAGTTATTTGGTGATCTTATTAAAATGCAGTGGGCCCAAGATTCTCCTGGTGACCCAATGAACACACTGTGAGTAACAGAGCACTAAACCAAAAGTATGTTTGCATCCTCTTGCTTCCCCTGGATCTGCATGCCATCCAGATACTTACAACAACACAAAATTTCCTGAGATTTTTAGCCCTGGGCACCCTTTATTCTGGACCAGGGCTTCCTCTCCAACTAATTTCTCTGTTCTCCTGCTTTAGTGAACTAGGCTGAATAGCACAGAAATCTCAAGGACCCCCTTTCTCTTTCTCCCTTAAAATCTACGCCAGAGACAGGTGCAATCAGCTCATTTGTTTTATTGCCCCTCAGCTCTACACTGGCCCAGCTTAGCCAGAACAAGGGTACCTCCCCAGCAGGCACATCTAGCTCAAGTGTAACTTAGACAAAAATAAGTTATTCCATGCATGTGTCCTAAAGGTACAATTTCCTTTTCATCTCCTCCAGGTTTCATATCCCCAGTAATGAATAAGGATGCGTGAGACCCTGATGCTTATTTTGAACCAAAGAGGTGTTCATCCAAAAGGAAAGACTGTGGGTGGTCTACATGAAACAAGTTGTCTCAAGAAAGAGAAAGAAGCCCTTCACTAGCCTTATTTAATTAGAACAACCATCAGAGATGCTATAGCTGGGATTGAGTGCCCACAATATTTTGCAACAACTCCCATCAAGAAGTGGAGTCTATTTCTCCATCTTGACTCTGGGCCAGCCTTCTGACTTGTTTTGACCAATTGAATGTGACAAGAATGTGGTTGTATGAGTTCCAAAGGCCTTGCAGCTTCCATCCTCTTTAAGTGCTGCCCTGAGACTCACCATGTAAGGAAGCCTTCCAGAGGATAAGAGGCTAAGAGGAGAACCAAGGCACCCCAGCCAACAGTCAATACCATCTGCCACACCTATGAATGAGGCCATCCTGGAAGCTCCAATTCAACACAGCCACATAAGTCAGCCCAGGTGAAAACAGCAGAGGAACCATTCAGCCAACCCACAGAACTGTGAAAAACAATGAATCACTATTAAGTCATTAAATTTCAGGGTGGTTTGTAACAAAACAGTAGATAATCAAGATAGACAGGATGGTGAACTAGATAACACCTAAGATCTCTTCAAACGTGACCCTGTGTGTTTTTGTTTTCTGTTTTGGGATGAAGTCTCACTATATTGCCCAGGCTGGAGTGCAGTGGTACAATCATGGTTCACTACAGTCCTGACCTCCCAGGTTCAAGCAAGTCTCCTGCCTCAGTCTCCCAAGTAGCTGGGATTGCAAGTGTGCACCACCATGCCTGGCTACTTTTTTTGTTATTATTTTGTAGAGACAAGGTTTCGCTGTATTGCCCAAGCTGATCTTGAACTCCTGGGCTCAGCAATCCTCCTGCTTTGGCCTCCCAAAGTGTTGGGATTACAAGCGTGAGCCACCACGTCCAGCCATGATTCCATGTTTTAAGAAATGTTCAGAGGGCTGGGCACACAGTGGCTCACACCTGTAATCCCAGCATTTTGGGAGGACAAGGTGGGCAGACTGCCTGAGCTCAGGAATTCGAGACCACCCCGGGCAACATGGTGAAACCTCATCTCTACTAAAATACCAAAAAATCAGCCGGGCATGGTGGCACATGCCTGTAATCCCAGCTACTCAGAAGGCTGAGATGGGAGAATCACTTGAGCCAGGGAGGCAGAGGTTGCAGTGAGCCAAGATTGTACCACTGCACTCCAGCTTGGGTGACACAGTGAAACTCTGTCAAAAAAAAAAAAAGAAAAAGAAATGTTCAGAGGTTTGATTTAGCCCCAAACAAGCTATTTCTTCTTTACATGCACAGATCTGTTCTCCATTCAAAACAAGGCTGGTGTCTTCATGTGCTTTTGTTGCTGATCTGCCATGGGAGGAAAATAATGAATGTCCCCCAAAGGGCCTCTTTGTGTCTTTAGTGACTCTATTTAGCAGGCTGTCTCACCTGAACTGCAACAGGGATTTAGATATGTTTGAAGGTACAAGGGTTCAGTCCTATCTCTCCCTGGCCATGAAGCGCTCACTGCCTGGGGACCAAGTTGGGAAAGTACTGAGACACAGTGCCTAGGAGGAGAGACAGGAAATAGGGTGACAATAGCGCGAATGGAGTAACATTTTCCCCACCCCGACTCCAACCCTGTGGCAAAAAAATAATTTTGAATCTCAAAAACATGAGGAATTGTGCAGAAGCAGAAGGGAGGCTTTGAGCAAAGCTGGGTACATGTGTGCTGCTTTAGAGCCCGAGAGGAGAGCTAGAGAAAAGGTCCTGCTCCCCTTCTCACCCTATCCCAACCCTGCCACGCATACGGATAGCTCTGGCTTCCTAAGAAGGGAAGAATATGGATGTGCCTAATGGAGTCCCATTCTCACTGAGGGCCAACCCAGGGTACAGTCCCCTGACAAAGAAGCCAAGGCATCACACAAGCAAACGTGTTTCTCAGCACATGTGATGAGCCAACACCTTGGGGACCCCCTTGAAATAACTGGGGGGATGCCTCTGAGGGGAAGGTGGTGGAAGTTTAGCATAAGCCTATAGGGTTTAGAACCACTGTAAATGGAAGCATCAAAATGAGTGTGTCCAAATGTGTACTCACAAGCTGGTTACACCATGAAATAAAGATCTTTTTTCATTTCTATTTCTGATGGTCAGAGGTTTCTGTGACCTGCACCAGATACTCTGATATCCTCCAGGGGATTGGTACATTCCACCTTTAAGACCTGGTTTTCTTCAGATTTTATGGGTGATTACAAAATGAAGCTAGTTTCCCAACCTGGGCACATATTGCAACAAAGTCTGAAGATAAAGTTATGGAATGAAAGTCTGGAGCTCAGAAGGATAACTTAGGAGCTTTTACCCAGCTACTTGCCTTGTCTATTTATGGTGGAATAGTATAGAGATGGTAGTTCAGGCACTATTTTACCTCACGTAGGATACAGATTGCATTAGAGTCTTGTTTCAAGAAAGGAAATACAACCAGAAAGATCATGGACCAGGTTACAGAAAACAAACATAATGTGCTTTACTGAACTAGTTTTTTTGTTACATCTTTTTGCTATTCGATTCCTACATCTTATTCCTTTTTGGTCTATCCTTTAGGGGGATGCTGTATAAACTATTTTTAAGTGCACAGTTTAACAATTTGATAATAGCTAGTAAAGTTGAAGAAAAGCCAATCTTGTAACCCAGCAATTCCGCTCTTAAATATATACCCTGTAGAAAAAAACCTTACACCTGGGCCTGAAGAGAGCTCACAAGTATTGCAGCATTGTTTATAGTAGGAAAAAACATGTTCATAACAGAGTAAAGTTAAATAAAGTTGAGGTTAGTCATATAAAGCAATTCAATGCAGCAGTTAAAACAAATGTACTAGACCTATTAGTATCAGCATGGATAAATCCCAACAAAAAATGTAAAAAAGTTGTAAAAGAATACATATAAAATATACCACATAGGTTAATATTAAAAACCTACCCCCAAAGAGTGCTGCATATTATTTCTGCATATATATAAGGTAATTTTAATGAACAAGAAAGACAAATTCTAACCTTATGATATCAGCTCCCTCTGGAAAGGAAGATAAATAAATAAAACAATGTGATAAAAGAATGGAGATTTAGCTATACTGCAACATTTTGTTTCAAAAGAAGGAAGGGAGGGAAGAAAAGAGCGAGAGAGGGAAAAAGGAAGAAAAAAAAGAGAACCAATGCTAATATGACTCTGGGTAGTCAGTACATGAGTGTAAATTATATTTTGCAGTTTTCTTGTATGTTCAAACTATTTCATTTTTTTTTTTTTTAATTTAAAAACAATGGGGCCAGGCACAGTGACTCACACCTGTAATCCCACCACTTTGGGAGGCCGAGGCAGGAGGATCACTGGTCAGGAGTTTGAGACCAGCCTGGCCAACATGGTGAAACCCCATCTCTACTAAAAATACACAAATTAGCTGGGCGTGGTAGGACATGCCTGTAATCCCAGCTACTTGGGAGGGTGCGACTGTACTCCAACCTAGGCAACAGAGTGAGACTCTGTCTAAAAAAAAAGAAAAAAAAAAAAAAAAAAGATGGACAGCTCGCCAGCAAAGGGATTTTACCGCCTCTTTGGTGGTGCCTATTCTATAGGAACTTCCCGGGTTTAGTGACTGAGACACAGGTAAGTATATTCTAGGGTTAAATGCTAATACTCACCTTCCCTCATCCCCACACAAACTACTATTCCTTGCTATTATATACATGCATCAGCTTGGTCTCTGCCAGATAACACTAGCCCCAGGAGACAGAATAAGAGGGAAAGGGGAAAAAACATGAAACCAAACCCTTGTAAGACATGAAGAAACACTCTGTTACAGCCCACTTTGGAATGCTCTGTGTTTCTGTCACCTCGAGCATTCTGATTCATTCTGAGCATCTCCTCCAGATACAACTCATTTAGCCAGCCGACAGGAGGAACAATTACTGCTGGCTTAAAAGATCGGTTGATTTCTCTGGCGTCTATTTGCCTGCAGTTCTGGCTCTCTGACAAATCAAGTCAGATCAATTTGTACCCTAAAGAGTAAATGGGAGGATGTGATTATTTTCTGGTTCAATAGAAAAGCATTTCATTTCAAAGGGCTGCTGCATAGCATTTTTGAGAGTCACAAGGAATGAATCAGGTCCCCAGAGAACAAATGATGGGTTCTCAGGAGAACAGCTGGCTTCACTTCTCACCTATGCTTTAGGAACTGAGGCAGGATGTGGGGATGAACAGAAAGCATACTCCACTGAGAGAAGCCTCTGCACATCCATGTCTAAGGAATATTTTATTTGTCTCTTCAGAAGCAGTCTTCTAAAGTTAGAAAACATGCTAAAAATTCAGGAAGATGGACACCTAATTCTACTGGCAACCACATCAAGATCTAGAAAATCACTTCTGAAAAGGAACCGACAAGCAGAAATAAACTTCTGAACAACAAGAGGGAAACAGAGGTGAGAAAATCATGCTTTGTTCCTTGACACTCGGCTGCTCTTTACCAACAGATTTGTCTCTTGAGACACAGCACTGCAGGAGAGGCCGCAGGAGAAAAGCCTTGGTGGGTTCCAGGCTCCTTTTACTGAGGCTGCCCCTCTGGAGTCTGCCTTCTCAGACGCCATCTAACCACTGAACTCAATCTTCAGGGTCAGGTCCACCCCCATTCCTCTGCCTCACAGACATTACAGTTGATATGCAGGAGCTGGAAATAATGTCGTGGAAACACATGGGCTTTGGGGACAGGCTGCTCGGGTTCATTCTCAGCTCTGTGGTTTATTAGTTTTAAGACCTCGACAAACCACTTAAGCTTCGATTTCCTCAGCTGTAAAACAAGGACAGTCCTAGTACCTTCCTTACAGGGTGGTTATTAAAGGACATGATGGATACAAAGCTCTTAATGCAGCACCTGGTCCAGATTGAGCATTCCACAGATGTTCCTGATGATGGCTGTTATTGTCTTCTGCCCTCGAAATGTGATGCTATTTGGTTACTTGTGAAAGACCTGGAGATTTTTAAATTCAAATTTTAGTGGGAATATGTCCCCTGCATGAACATCGGATATATCTATGCTAATAGGCCTTGTCCTCAGAGGTGAACCAAAGGCTTTCTCTGAGTCATTCCCCTCTATCATGAAATTGGCATCCTTTCCTATACTGATCTCTATGGCAATCATATTACTCTTGCTCCCATCTCTACAACACTCTATATGAGGTAAATTTATTCATGAGCACCATAGTGCAGCAACAGCCAAGAAGTCAGAAGGCAAGAGTTCTGGCTCTTTCCATGGCAACAACCAATTATGTGAGTGTAAGTGATTTATTTATCATTTCTGCCTTTTGATTTTTTCACCTCTAAAGTGAGGATCATTTTTCATGCTCTATTTACTTCATCGGGCTATGAAAAACTGAAAAAGGGAAAATGAGGAAATAGACCAATGAAACAGAATAGAGACCCCAGAATAAATCCACACACTTGCAGCCAACTCATTTTCAACAAAGGTGGCAAGAACATCCCTTGGGGAAAGGACAGTCTCTTTAATAAATGGTGCTGGGAAAACTGAAAGGCACATGCAAAAGAATGAAGCTAGATCCCCATCTTTCGCCATGTATACAAGTCAACTCAAAATGGATTAAAGGCTAAAATGTAAGACCTGAAACTATAAAACTACTAGAAGAAAACATTGGAGAAATGCTCCAGGACATTGGGCTGGGCAAAGATTTTTTGCATAAGACCTCAAAAGCACAGGCAACTAAAGCAAAAATAGACAAACGGGATTATATCAAGCTAAAAAGTTTCTGCCACAGCAAAGGAAACAGTCAACAAAGTGAAAAGACAACCCACAGAATGGAGAAAATATTTGCAAACAATCTCTCCTATAAAAGGTTAATAACCAGAATATTTAAGGCACTCAAACAAATCAATAGCAAAATGCAAAAACAGATACTCTGATTTTAAAATGGTCAAACATTTCTCAAAAGAAGACATACAAACGGTGTTATAAGCAACAGAAAATGAACTAAGACAAAAAAAAGGAAAAAAAAATTTTTTAAAGTGAAAAATAAGAAGACATACAAATAGCCAACAGGTATATGAAAAAATGCCCAACACCGTTAATCATCAGGGAAATGTAAATCAAAACCACAGTGAGATATCATCTTATCCCAATTAGAATGGCTATTACTGGCCGAGTGCCGTGGCTCACGCCTGTAATCCCAGCACTTTGGGAGGCCGAGGCGGGCGAATCACAAGGTCAGGAGATCGAGATCATGGTGAAACCCCGTCTCTACTAAAAACACACACAAAAAAAATTAGCCAGGCGCGGTGGCGGGAGCCTGTAGTCCCAGCTACTCAGGAGGCTGAGGCAGGAGAATGGCGTGAATCCGGAAGGTCGGAGCTTGCAGTGAGCCGAGATCGCACCACTGCACTCCAGCCTGGGGAACAGAGCGAGACTCTGTCTCAAAAAAAAAAAAAAAAAAGGATGGCTATTACTAAAAAAAAAAAAAAAAAAAAAAAAAAAAAAAAACAAAAACAAAAAAAAACAGATGCTGGCAAGTGTGTGGAGAAAGGGGAATGCTCATACATTGTGAGTGGGAATGCAAATTAGTATAGTCGTTATGGAAAATGGTATGAAGGTTCCTCAAAAAATTAAAAATAGAACATATGATACAGTAATTTGACTGCTGGATACATATTTTTAAAAAATAAATCAGTATATCAAAGAAACATCTGTACACTCATGATTATTGCAGCACTATTCACAATAGCAAAGATATAGAATCAGCCTTTGTGTCCATCAATGGATGAATAGAAAAAGAAAATGTGGTGTATATACACAATGGAATGTTATTCAGCCATTAAAAAAGAATGAGATCTTGTCATTTGCAGCAACATGGATGGAACTGGAGGATCTTATGTTATGGGAAATAAGCCAGGCACAGAAAGACAAATATTGCCTGTTCTCATTCACATGTGGGAGCTAAAAACTGGATCTCATGGAGATAGAGAGTAAAACTGTGGTTATGAGAAGTTGAGAAAGGAAGTGGGGAGAGGGGAACAAGAGAACCCAGTTAAGCGCACAAAAATGAAGTCAGATAGAAAAAATACGTTATAGCATTCAATAGTATACTAGGGAAATTATAGTTAACAATAATTTATTGTATATCTCAAAAAAGCTAAAAGAAAAACATTGTAATGTTCCCAACACAAAGAAAGATAAATGAAGTGATGGATATCCCAATTACCCTGATTTGATCATTACACATTGTATACATATGTCAAAATATCACATGTGCCCCAAAAATATGTAAAACTATTATATATCAATAGAAATCAGGACATTAATATTGATATAATTTTTTTCTTTTGAGACTGAGTCTCACTCTGTCGCCAGGCTGGAGTACAGTGGCACGACCTTGGCTCACTACAACCTCCGCCTCCCAGGTTCAAGCAATTAATCTGCCTCAGCCTCCTGAGTGGCTAGGATTACAGGCACGCGCCACCACGCCCAGCTAATTTTTGGGCTTTTAGTAGAGATGGGTTTTCACCATGTTAGTCAGAATGGTCTCGATCTCTTAACCTCATGATCCGCCCACCTTGGCCTCCCAAAGTGCTGGGATTACAGGCATGAGCCACCGCGCCCGGCCAATATTGATAGAATTTTTAAAAGAAGGCGAAGGTAATGTTGATTTGAAAAGGGTAAGGAGGAAATGCAAGAGATCATTGTCGGTTGGTTATCTTTATTCTGACATCTGCAGGTCCTTGAAGGCATGAACACAGAAGAGTCTAAAATGATCCCACCCAGAATGTAGCAACAATGCCTATGTAATAGTGGTCTGACAAGCCTCCTATTATACAAGCCACACTTCATACAAGCCACACTGGGGACTTTATGAATATTGTTAATAATGGTGGATACATGAGTTAAAGTTTAAAAGTTTTTAACATAAACGACAGCAAAGTCAACACCTTCCATCTTGAAATTAGAAACTGACCACGTACAATTCCTGGTTGGTTCATTTACAGCATTTGTATTTGACTTTTTAACATTTTATTTTTATAAAGAAATACTGAGCCAGGCATGTTGACTCACGCCTGTAATCCCAGCACTTTGGGAGGCCAGCGGGTGGATTACTTGAGGTCAGGAGTTCGAGACCAGCCTGACCAACAAGGTGAAACCCCCATCTCTACTAAAAATACAAAATTCAGCTGGGCGTGTTGGCACATACCTGTAATCCCAGCTACTTGGGAGGCTGAAGCGAGAGAATCACTTGATCCCGGGGAGCAGATGTTGCAGTGAGCTGAGATCATGCTGTGCACTCCAGTCTGGGCAACAGAGCAAGACTCTGTCTCAAAAAAAAAGAAAGAAAGGAAAGAAATACTAAGGGACAAATTTTAGGGTTGTTTAATTTTAAAAATATAACTGTAATGTAAATTATTAATCAACTTTGTGCTTTCTGGATATATGTTAAAAGTATAAAACCGGGCTGGGCATGGTGGCTTATGTCTGTAATCCCAGCACTTTGGGAGACTGAAGTGGGAGGATTCCTTCAGACTAGGAGTTCAAGATCAGCCTGGGCAATGTGGCAAGGACACTTCTCTACAAAAAAAAATAAAAACTTTATTTAGCTGGGTAAGGCAATATGTGCTTATCAGTCCCAGCTCTTCGGGAGGCTGTGGTGGGAGGATCTCCTGAGCCCAGCAGTTCAAGTCTGCAGGGAGCTATGATTGTGCCATTGCATTCCAGCCTAGGCAACAGAGCGAGGCTCTGTCTCTAAAAGAAAAAAAAGTCACACCGGGATCAGTGGCTCACACCTGTAATCCCAGCACTTTGGGAGGCCAAGGCGGGCTGATGACAAGGTCAGGAGTTCAAGACCAGCCTGGCCAAAGTGGTGAAAGCCCATCTCTATTAAAAATACAAAAATTAGCTGGGCGTGGTGGCACACGCCTGTAGTCCCAGCTACTTGGGAGGCTGAGGCAGGAGAATTGCTTGAACCCGGGAGGTAGAGGTTGCAGTGAGCCAAGATCAGGCCACTGCACT